TGCAAAGTTGGAATTGATTGAACTTTTCAGTCCCACCCAGTCTGCCCTTACCACTGCGGCCACGCCTACCCAATGGGCCATGCCCACCCAATGGGCCACGCCCACCCAATGGACCACACCCACCCGGCACTCAACGATGCATAAGTGGGTTTTGGGTTGCAGTTTGGGCACTCGGTCTCTAAAAGGTTCGCCATCACTGACCTATACAGATATTCGGAGTTGGGAAAAATGTCAGGTGAGAGACACCACTGAGGTCACATATAATAATAATAATAATAATAATAATAATAATAATAATAATAATAATAATAAAGTTGGAAGGGACCTTGGAGGTCATCTAGTACTGTGATTCTTTCAGAGAGAAAAAAAATGAGATGCTAACCCATCAGTTTACCTGATTGGTACTGTATGATGCCAAGGCCAGTTGCAAGTACCCTGGCCAACAGAAAGGACAATGTCTTATGACAGTGGTGGCGAACCTATGGCACGCGTGCCAGAGGCGGCACTCAGAGCCCTCTCTGTGGGCATGTGCACCGTCGCCCCAGCCCCGCCTCCCCCGTGGCCCCTTCCTCACCAGCAGCCCCCTGCAACAGAGTCGCCCCTGGGCACGGTCCACATAGAGCAGCGCAACCAAGAACATGGCAGCCAGGCAGGGGGGACAAGTCTCCGCCCTCGCTCCCCGTCGCATGCAGATGATGCGGGACGTGGGTGGAGGGCGCCGCCGCCATGGCGCTGTGGCGGGCTGTGGAGGCAATGGGTGGCCTGCGGGCAGGCAGGGCAGGGACAGGGGGTGGGGGAAGGCAGAGCAGAGGCGGTTTTGGGGCACTCGGTCTCTAAAAGGTTCACCATCACTGTCTTACAACTTTTTAGAGGCACAAAGAGGCCGTCTCACAGTTCGGAACAACGTTAAGAGTATGGGCTTAGAAAAGAGAATTACACTACCGAAGTTGAGAAGAGCGTATTCGCACAGAGAATGAATGCGAGAAAGTGCTACGAGTAAAAAAAAACGAGCAAAAAAAAGAAGAAAAAAACCCCACCTAGCAAAACAGAAGCAAAGGTAGGCTAACAAAAAAGCAAAGGCCACGTTTAAAGTCAAAATATTTTCCAGGCAGGGGCCGTCACGGTTCCGACAGATGAAACGGTGGCCTCTGCAGAAGCACCTTCTTACCGTCGCTTGAAGGCTGCGTCTGGAAGGCCTGGTTGTAGACCTCTGGAGTGGCACAGGCAGTCTCGGGCTCTTCCTGTTCGTCGTTTTCGGTGTCGCACTCGATGTCGCTGTCGCTGCTCATGCCTGGCAAGAGATGAAGTGCAGCTGCACCCAGAAAGGAGTAAAAAACGACTGCTCAGCACTCACACATTACCTTCAAAAAAAAAAGAGAGGCTAAAGCAGGGGTCTTCCAACTTGGCCCTTTGATGACTTGTGGACTTCAACTCCCAGAATTCCTCAGCCAGGCACGCGTGCCTGGCTGAGGAATTCTGGGAGTTGAAGTCCACAAGTCATCAAAGGGCCAAGTTGGAAGACCCCCTGGGCTAAAGGATCTCCTTACTTCTGTTGGATCTACGGAAAGGCTTCCTAGCAGGTAGACAAACTCTGGAAAACACATGCAGGGAGTCCTCAACGTTAACAGTTTTTTGTTTGGGGACTGTTCGAAATCACAACGGCACTGAAAAAAGCGACGCGATTGTTTGTCGCACGACCACTGCAGCATCCCCAGGGTCACATGATCAGAATTCAGAGCCTTGGCAACTGGCAGGAATTTATGATGGTTGCAGAGTCCCGAGGTCACCTGATCCCCTTTTGCAACCGTCCGACAAGCAAAGTCAATGAGGGAGTCAGATTCACTTTGCAACCGTGTCACTAACTGAACAACCGCAGCGATTCGCGTTAACTATTGTGGCGAGAAAGATCGTAAAATGGGGCAAAACTCACTTAACAGCTGTCTTGCTTAACAGTAGAGTTTTTGGGGGGCTGAATTGTGGTTGTAAGTCAAGGACTGTTTGTAACTGCAATGGAGTGTGTTAGGATCCTCCTAACACTAGCAATAGTGCTTAACTTATATACCGCTACACAGTGCTTCATAGCCCTCTCTAAGTGGTTTACAGAGTCAGCCTATTTCCCCCCAACAATCTGGATCCTCATTTTACCGACCATGGAAGGACGGAAGGCTGAGTCCACCTTGAGCCGGTCAGGATTGAACTCCTGGCAGTGGGCAGAGTCAGCCTGCAACACTGCATTTTAACCATTGCGCGACCATGGCAAGGAAGGAAGGAAGGAAGGGAAGGAAGGAAGGAATAGCACTTATATACCACTTCACAGCGCTCTACAGCCCTCTCTAAGCAGTTTACACAGCCAGCCTATTTGCCCCCAACATCTGGGTCCTCATTTTACCGACCTCAGAAGGACGGAAAGCTGAGTCCACCTTGAGCTGGTCAGGATCGAACTCCTGGCAGTGAGCAGTGAATTAGCCAGCAATATTGCACCCCTGCGCCAACATGGCTCTTCCCAAAACCCCATTTCTCCCTCCTTGAAACTCCAGGAAAGAGCCAACTAAATTTGCTGCCACCAGCAGTTCGTTTGAGATAAATGAATCCCCTTCCATCAGTAGCTGGGAGATTTCTTTCCCGGAATGAGAACCACTGGTCCCTTATGAATGTAAACATTTGTCATAGGCAGTACGCTCGGATTCACGACAGGAGATCGATAAAAAAAGAATTAACACAGACAGGTAGTCCTTGACTTACACCAGTTCATTTAGTGACCGTCTGAAGTTACAACGGCACTGAACCAAGTGACTTATGACCACTTTTCACTCTTAAGGCTGCTGCAGCATCTCCACGGTCGTGTAATCAAAATTCAAATGCTTGGCAACTGGTTCGTATTTATGACGGTCACAGTGTCCCCACGGGGTCACGTGATCCTCTTTTGTGACTTTCTGACAAGCAAAATGAGCAGCTCCCTCAGCCCTTTCACACATGTTCCCCCTCCACCCCAGTGCAAGTTCCTACAGCCACGATCTCAATCCATAAAACAAAGAAGAATCTATATCACAGTTTTACTAGTCCTAGCCAAAACATCTTAAAAGGGGGAGGGGGGGAGAGAAGAGAAACCCACCCTCTTGATTGGCTCATTAGCATTTGATTTTCCTAGGCTTTGGCTTTGGCTTTTCCAGTGATGGGGAACCTTTTAGAGACCGAGTGCCCAAACTGCAACCCAAAACCCACTCATTTATCGCCGGGTGACAGGTGGGCGTGGCCCACTGGATGGGCGTGGCTGTGGTGGTCATGGCAGATTGAGTGGGTGTGGCCAAGGTGGGTGTGATCACCTCGATGTTGATCGTGGGGAGGGACGCCTGTGGGGGCCAGGCAGGGTTGGGGGAGATCCAGGGGATCTCTGGCAGGTGGGGCGGTGGGCAGGAGGCTCGTCCTGGGGGGTGAGGCGAGGCAAGGCGGGGGTGCCATTGTCACAGGGCAAGGCGAGGCAGGGGCTGCTGCTGCTGCCTGACACCATCGGCCCCTGCACACAGAGGCCAGTGAGCGCATGGTGCTGGGATGCATCTGGCCATGTGGGACCTCAGCGACTGGTTGAAGAGGGACGGTTGCCATCTCTGGGGCATGGTGCATGTGCCCACAGAGAGGGCTCTGAGTGCCTCCTCTGGCACGCGTGCCATAGGTTCGCCATCACTGGTCTATTCCCTGGAATTAACTATCATGTCCATTTCCATGTCTGTTCCTCTTGAAATGGAGTTCCCCATACTGACTACAACAATTAATAAAAAATTCATTTGTTGCTGCCTCTGGAAGCTTCTCACCTAGACAGAACTTGATCTAATCCAGCAAAGCAAATCATTGGATGCTTTAAATTCATTTTTTTAACCGAAACTGTATATATGCTGAAGGACTTCAGCTCATCATCGTTCTTCTACAGGATCCAGTGCACCTTTTGAATAATATTCCAGCCAGAATTATGAAACTGATTCAATACACTTGCAAAACTGCTGATCAAATCGTGATAATATTATCCTTCATATTTTCCACATCATCAACACACTTGGTATCCCAGATAAATTCAGATCTTAGATATCTCCTGATCAAGGTTTTACATTATGACAACCTTATTATCTTTTACTAGCTACATTTTGAACTTCACACTGGTTTTTAATTTGGATATTTTTCTCCAGGTATAATACATCAAATCATGAACAAAATATGTGAAAAATTTCTTGGGAGAATTTTTTTAAAGTCTTAAAAGAGGAAGAAGGCTCCGGTTCTTATTTCTCCTTTGAAGACTATTTTACTAATGATTTATGCAATTATCCACAATCTATTTTAGGAGGACAGAAATAATATTAATAAATATTTAAAAGTCCCCTCTCCACTAATTTTAAAAAAATAACCAGTAGATACAGGTATTCTACTCCATTTAAACAGAGGGAACTTGAAAAGGAAATCTAGTCTTTTGGTTTAATTCCACCTCATTTCCAGATAGTTTTTGTATCAGCTGCAAAGCTATGAGAAAATCTTAAATGGAAATTATAAGCATAACAACAGGGACTCCCTGTCCAAGCATGGGTGATGCTCTATGCATATTGCTACCCATGTTAAAACTTTCTAGCCCATTGCTTTAGAACCGAGTTCTCTACGCACTTAAAACGTTGAAATCCACTGACTTCAACAAAACTTAGAAGTCTCCATATTTAGAACTGGCTGTCAGCCACATGCTGTGTCCACACTGAAAATCAACTTAATCTGTTTTCCCCCCCTCTTATTTCTGTTAATCCATCTAATGATACTCCTTGCTTCTGCTATTTAAGGTGCTTTACACAGCTGGTAGCGAACATCCAGCACTTTGTGTCATTATCAGCAGCCTATCAGTGAAGTACTGTTTGATAAAAGCTTCAAGTAAATTGCTCCTCATTTAGCAGCCAAGGAAGAACCGAAGCATCTGGAACCAGGTTTGCACTAAGCAGCTCCTCCAAATGAAGACAAATGCTACCAAAAAAAAACCCCAGTAGTTTTTATCATTTGTTATTGCTTTACCAATAGGCTAGAGGGTGTTTACTGTATGAAATAATCCACTAAAATGGACTTTGCTTTGCACCTAAAGCCAATTTGAATAGTGGGGCTGAGATTTCCTCAGCTCAGAGCACAATTCCTTTGTCCCTGTGTAAGAAAACTGCCAACCTTCTCGTCTCCATGACTACAAAATGGCAAATCAAACAGGGTCTCTTACTTCAGATTCCCCTCTCTGAAAAGGAGCAAGCAGCAAAGGGCTTCCTGGGGTTTTCCACAATGCAACTGTAAAAAAAGAAATCCTTTTTCTTCCTTTTCCAGCAGTCAAGCTGCAACTGCTAACAAGGATGCTCAAAGCACGGTAACTAAGAAGGAACAAGGCGCCTGAGGTCAGGCGCGCCTCCTGCAACAGCTTCATGAAGTGCTCTCCGACAGGTAATAATGGATGCCGGGGTCTTAGTCCAACTTTCACACAGCAATTCATCCCCTAATGAGAGTCCAACGAGTGAGGAGGTGGAAGGAAGTTTTAGGACTACGAAGACTTCCACACCAATAGCTAATTCTATGATCCCAAAAGAAGAGCGTATATAGATCAGACATGTCAAACACAAGGCCCGGGGGCCGGATGCGGCCCGCGAAGTGGTTTCCTGTGGCCCAGAAAGCCATCCTGGAAACAGTGAGGGAATGGCCCCCGCTGCCTTGGCCCTGGCCTAGGCCGGCCGGGAGCCAATGTACAATTTTGTGGTGGCCGTCTATCCTGAAATGCCTTCAGTCTTAGCTCCACAAGGCCGTCTGGAAACAGCGAGGAACCAGCCCCTGCCGTGTCGGCCCCGCCCCCTGGGTGCATGCTGGGGAGGGGTCACCCTTTGGGAGGAATGAAGAAATGGACCATGCCTTGGCGCTTGCCCCGGTCCCACCCCCTTCTGCCAGAGACCCTCAGATCTGTCCCACTCCTGCCCAGGCCCCCACAGGCACCCTTGATGCGAACGATGTAGAGCTGGCCACGCCCACCCAGCAGGCCACACCTACTCCATCCATGCCCACCCAGGCCGCACCCCCCCTGGCCACACCCAGCATTTTCCCCAAATGCTCCCACGTTTCTGGCAAGCCTCCAAACAAAGGAAGACACACACATCTCTGGCTGCAAGTAGTTTCCCGTACAGTCTGATTAGGAGAGGAATTTGCTCAAGGCCACGGAGATAAGAAAGAATGACACATACATCATAAACCTAACCAGTCTGTGTGAATACAGTCTTGCCTGAGCCGTTTCAGAAGGGAAGCCAAAATACAGTTCGAGATCTATAAACATCCAAGCCACGTTGTCAGCCAGTCCAATGGTCAGAGTGTCTGGGTTTCCAAGCAGAAGTCACAGAACAAGAGATCAGCAACAACACACAAAAAACTCCAAGGAATCAGCATTTGTTCCCGACAAATGCCTCTCCCCACAGCGTCTCCTTAAGTCTCAGTCTCCAGGTGTGCCTTGTGGAGAGGGGCGGGACGCTCTCCTCCCAAGTAGTTGAACCTGCCTGTGTTGTTCCCTCCTTCTCTCCACTCTCCGTGCTCTAGGATCAGGTGGGGGTGGCCCTTGCTCATCGCCTGAACTCTGCCTCTCCTGTTCATCCTGTCCCAATCCTGAAGGGCCCTGGCCTGCCTGCTCTTCCCCACATTCCTCTGAAGCCACAGACACCTCTCCCTCAGCCTCCGTTCCAGCGGAGGCATGACACTTGCCTGCCAGAGCATCTTATACAAGGGTGCGTCTTATAGATGGAAAAATACAGTATATCACTGTTTTCCGTGCCGTTGTAACCTCGAACGGTCACTGAATGAATGGTTGTAAGCCGAGGACTGCCTCTATTCAAGTTACCGATGTACAGTTAGTTGCGGCAGCCTCTTAGCTTTGTAACACTTGAATGTGGGTTAACAGGAAGACCCCAGTTTATCAGACATCTTTAGTTTTCTCTGAAATCCCAAATGTGGCCTTACCTTCCTCAAGATTTGCTGAAGCCCCTTCAGAGGGGACTACTTGTAGCTCTCCAGCTTCACAGCTGTTTTCCAAATCACTTGCCTCGGTGGCTTCCAGACGACATCGATTTGGGTTGGGCCTAAAAAGAGAGGAGAGGCAGGCTGGTAACAAAAAAAGCCCCAAAGCCTGAAATATTTTTTGTCATTTAACAGATTTCAGGGTTAATTTGAAAAACAGGGTGTGTTTTTTTTTCCTGAAAGGCATAAATCATATCCTCTTTCCAATTACAATGGTAAACTATTTCACGCTACACTTTACAAAACTAACCTTGGTAGATACAAGGGAAGGAGGTTCTTCTGAGACTGAAATGCAGTTGCAAAGCATTTAAAACTGATGTTCAGATTTGCAATATTTCCATGTCTCTACCAAAAACGAGAGGCCGCCTTAAATTTGCAACAGCAGAACAACTCCAGAAGTGTTAAATTTCTTACCTGGTACAGTATAAGCCCGAACCTATGGCACGGGTCTCAGAGGTGGCACTCGGAGCCCTCTCTGTGGGCACATGTGCTATTGCCCCAGCCTCACCTCCCCCCGCGACCCCCTCCTTTCCAGCAGCCCCCCTGAAGGAGAGTCGCCCCTGAGCGTGGCCCACACGGAGCAGCGCAGCCAAGGACATGGCAGCCAGGCAGCGTAGACAAGACTCTGGCCTCACACCCCATCGTGCACAGTTGAGGCTGCAGGGTGCGGGCAGAGGGTGTGGCCGCCATAGCGCTGCTGGGCTGCCTGGGCGATCTGCGGCGGGCCCTGGAGGCGGTGAGTGGTCCTGTGGGC